ATTCTATTCTATTCTATTCTATTCTATTCTATTCTATTCTATTCTATTCTGTTATACTCTATTCTTTTCTGCATTCTGTTCTATTCTATTCTATTCTATTTTATTCTATGCTATGCTATGCTATGCTATGCTATGCTATGCTATGCTATGCTATGCTACGCTACTCTACTCTACTCTACTCTACTCTACTCAACACATGTTGAATCACATGGGTGCTGGAAGAATAGAACTTTGTTCAATTAATAAGCCTTGTTAATTTATTGTTAAAATGATTTTGGGGAATGAACCTTCCAGATAACTAGCAGCAAAATGGAATCTATTAAAAGTCCAGCAGCAGAATCAATTTTAAAAGAGCAGGCAGTTTTGGTAGCAACAAGGAGAGTAACCCAACCAGGTCTATTGCAGGAAACAGATGATATAGACAGGAACATCCATGGGAGGGGAGAGTCAAAAAAGTCAAAATGGAAGCCTTCATTATGTCATTGGAGCCCTGTTTCATACACGAGAAAAGGGAGCAGGCTTTGATTACAGACTTTCAAATTTTTGAAAGAGTTTTTGAAAGAAAAAAAGAAGAAATTTGTAGATACTTTGCAAAGTTCATTTCTGGACTCTGTGAGCAAGGAGTCTTTAAAATCAAAAGTTGCATGCAAATTTCCCCTCAGTGTGGCAGCATTAACAATAAAAGTAAAAGATGTAGGAGAAGAAAGAAGGAGGAGGAGGAGGAGGAGGAGAAGGAAGAAGAGGAAGAGGAAGAAGGAAGAAGGAGAAATAATCATGGTGGTAGAGAAGGAGGAAGAGGAAGAGAAGGAAAAGAAAGAAAGGAGACATTTAAAACTCCAGAAGAATAGATTTCACCTAAAAATATGTTGATCTTGTAAACTCTTGAGAATCAAGGTGGAATTATTTTTTATTCTTCCTGTTGCAGACTGAGTTGGGAATTCAGAAGCTTTAAGCACACAGATCATTCTTCACCATGAACTCTCCTTAGGAAATGAGGCTGAACAATCTTGGCAGGAAATTATGCAAAACCACCGTGATAAAGCATTTGGGGAAAGATAAAACTGAGCCTCAGGAAAGCATCAATATGGTGCAAAGTGACTTGATACACGTGAGAGGAGCCAGTGCGCTTCCTTAACATAGCAATAGGAGGCTGCAATCCTACTCTGTAGCAAGATTTGCTTTTTATTGATAATTCCCCCCCATTGATGGCTGTGTGTAAAGTATATTCTGGTCACCACACTATTAAAAAAGATGTTGAGACTCTAGAAAGAGTGCAGAGAAGAGCAACAATAATGATAAGGAGACTGGAGGCTAAAACATACGATGAATGGTTGCAGAAACCGCGCATGGCTAGTCTAGTGAAGAGAAGGACTTGGAGTGACATGATGGCCGTCTTCCAGTATTTGAGGGGCTCCCACAAAGAAAAAGGAGACAAGCTATTCTCCAAAGCATCCGAGGGCAGGACAAGAAACTGTAGCAGGTTTTCTGCTCGTTCCTTACTTTCAACTACTTCCAGGGATGGGCTTCAAAAATGTTAGCAAAGACTTCTCTGCCCAGTTGATGGATGGGCGTGGCCATGATGGGTGGGGCCTAGTTGGCCTCCTGCATCACAGCGGGGGGTGTTTTTTCCCCTCCCCGGGTTCCGGAGGCTTTCCTTAAGACTCCAGAAGGGTGAAAATGGCCTCCCCGGACTCCGGAGGTTCTCTAGAAGCTGGAAACAGGCCCATTTCCAGCCTTCCCAAACTTCCAGCAGGCCCATTTTTCGCCCTCCCCAAGCCTCCGTGCATGCCCTGCATTGCATACAAAATGGCCGCATGGGGACTCCTGGGAGGGGCGGGGAGTGATGGGCGGGGCCAGCCAGGAGTGGGATTTGGGGGGGGGTTCTCCAAACTGCACAGAACCTTAGCTAGGGTCTCTCCTGAACCCCTGTGAACCCCCAGCATCCCATCCCTGACTACTTCATTCTAATTATATATTATTAAGGCTTATTCTGATATTTATATATGCAGAGCCTTTGGTTCTATCAACATTTTAAATGATCAGTGATGTTTCAGCTGTGAGAAACTGCAGCTAAGGCCTATTTGAGGAACACTTCTCTTTCTAAGTCTCATTTTCAAGGATTCCCTGATAAACCTTCTCTAAGACTGACTACAGCATGCTCCAAAAAGATCTTTACTCCAGGAAATTGGCTGCTTCTTCCAAAGAAACTGCTCTGCGGAGAATTTTTGATATCCGATCTTGCAGAAGCTGGGCCATTCTTCCACGCGCATAAATAGTAGCTTAATCACTCTTTCGGAATATTAATTTCAAGGAGTTCTTTGATTAGTTATTTCCATATGACACAGATCCAAGTTTTGCAGTTACCCAAACAGGAATTCAGGACTTTGATTTTGAACAGTCTATTTCTTTCAACTCAAGGGAGAGAGAAAGGCTTAGTATGTTTGCTTTGTGTTGGATTGAGGTTATGGTCACAAATGTTACTCCTGAAGGATTCCTTTGCTTCACATGTAAATGCTGATCCGTGTGGCCAGTTAAACATTTGGTACTGATTATTCTCAAACAGGCACTTAATTCCATTAACTTCCTTCATTTGGAGTCCTTAATCCCCCAAAACACAAACAGGGTCCTGCCCCTGTCGGAGCCTGAATCCATGGAGGAGGACGAGTAGGAGTTGGGGCAGATGGAGGTCAATGGGGCAGCCTCATCGCCTTCCGAGGAAAGCGGGAAGGAGCAGTATGAGGCAGCCCCGGGATCCTCTGGCTTGGGATGGCTTGCCAGAAGAGAGGAACGGGGGCAGGATGACTGAGAGAGGGCAGGCAGTGGAAATGAGAAGCGACGGAGCTCAGGCGATGAGCAAGGACCATCCCCTCCTGATCCCCGAGCAAGGAGAATGGAGAGAAGGCGGGAACGGTGCAGGCCAACCTGACAACTTGGGAGGAGAGCTCCCCACCCCTCTTCACAAGGCACACCTGAGGACTTAAGGAGACACTGTGGGGAGAGCCATTTGTTGGGATAAATGCTGAATTTGTGGAGTTTTGTGTGCCATTGCTGATATCTAGCCTTTTCCCTTGCTTAATGGACTCATTGCTTCTTCCTTGCTTCATGGATTCATTTCCTTGTTCTTTTGCCCTGCTGGACTTCCTGCCTTGAAGCCGTTGTTCTAACAGCGTTTTGCTGGACTACTTACAGCCAGCAGCTGCTGTGTGGGTGTATGTTTGTGCACTTTGCTCTGGGACTTGCATAATGTGGGGGTTTCTGGGGGAAAGTTAGAGCATTAAAGGGGAGTTTGAACTCTGAGCTGGCTGTGTGGCTTTCATGCCTTGTCCTGGGTCATCACAGAAAGTTAAAACAGAGAGTTGAGAATTGTTTCTTTGAGATGACCACCTACTGTCAACTCATAAAGCATTCCTATGCCTGTTTCTGAGTTGCCATAAGAAGGAGGGGGGGAAAGGCCTGAGGGAGCAGTGTGGCAGATGAAAGCCAGAAGCACATTCCATGCTTATCTTGTGGAGATTGTGGCCTAGGCTACCGGATCTTCTGCCTTTGAAAATCCTTCATTGGACAATGTGACACCCAGCCCGTGAATGTGTTTCGCTGGAGAATCTGATTGATGACACAACCAGGGAGGTGGTGGGGGGGACAGGGTCATAGGTAATAGTAAATTACATGTGCCACAATTGGCTTCATACGGGTTAGTGCTGGACATGTTGCTCCTAATAAATCTTTTGGATTCTTTTGAAGCTTGGCTCAAGGCTCATGATTTAATTAGGGAAATTGGAACCCTGATACCTACATTATTACTGTTCTATAGCGGCACACAATACCTTCTTAAATTATTTGGGCTGCATCTCATTCCTTTGCTTCCTTCTAGATTTTTTTGGTCTTGTTGGGGAAAAACTGCTGGTCATGAAAGGGAAGGAACCCCCCCCCCATCCCTGCTTACCTGTAGGAGAAGGACAGGCAGAGACTGGGGAAGAAACAGTTTAGAATCTCTATGTAACCACAAACAGCCTAAGTCCATCTCTCTTGAATTCCATTAACTCTTAACTAGCACCAATTTAGTGGCAATGGTTAGTTGACTAGATTCTTGTGACTAAGCATGAGCAGCTTAATTAGAACTTGTTTAATGGCTGGATGGCTTTCCTGTCACCAGAGCGTTGCTCAGCAGTTATATTCCAATTGTGCCCAGAGAGAGAAATACCTGTCTCTACCTAGGATCGAACTCACAGCCTCCTGATTGTGAGGCGATAGCTCCACCTCTAGGCCACCGCACCACTCATCAAAAAGAAACAATTGTTGTCCTATTTTTTTTTTCCTAGCTCAGAATGTGGTGCGCAGCTCCTCGGCGGTTATTGAAACAACCGAGTGCATACAAGGACAAGGAGAAGGCTACCGGGGTACCGTGAACACCATCTGGAGTGGGATTGAATGCCAGCGGTGGGACTCTCAGGTGCCTCACCAACATAACTTCACACGGGAGAACTTTAAGTGCAAGTGAGTAAAACAACTTTGATAAGAGTGATCGACCTCAATATGGAGAACAACCATTAAGGTGTCATGCCCTTGTTGGAGTCTGATTCTGAGGGAGAGATTGAGCAGCTGACAGGGAGTGGGAGTGTGGATCTGATGGCTGTGGAAGAAACGGAGGAAGGGCACAGTCCGGCTGGGCATTCAGAGGAAGACCCAGGCCCACCCCCTCTTCATCCTAGGGCACACAGGGAGGAACGGATAAGGGGGCAACGTGGCTTACAGGAGAGAAAAGGGCCCTGATTCCCTTCATTAGTTGCAGCTTGGAGTACAGGATATAAGTGTGGCATTTGCACACAGCTCCTTGCTGGAAGCAAAGCGTGCATTATCTTGGTTGAGGCTTATCTGGGTTTTGGCATCCTCCCAATTGTGGGTGCTGCGTTATCCTTTGAAAGTCTGCAATTTATCATCCTGGCCTGCTGTGTTAATTACTTCAGTGTGGTTTGTATTGATTTTTTAATTTCTAATTATCTTTACTTTGGGTTCAGACTGCATTTCTGCCCTTCATAGACTGTTGAAGAGTTTGATCTCCAGCCGAGGATAATTGGACATTGGGGCCAAGTTGGAGGCATTAAAGGGAATTTATTCTACTTTTGGGACTTTCTTATTTTTGTGTCACGCCTCGGGTCATCACATAAGGTTTCTAACCCAAAGGGCAGACATTAGTGCTATTATGTCTTTTGCAATTCTCTGTCAACACACTTCTTTAACAAGTTGACAAACAGAGTGTGGTGGCTCACGAGGTTAGAACGCAGGGCTGCCAATCTGGCTTGTATTCGAAACCCGTTGCTTTTGTGAGGTGGGGTGAGCTCCCATCACACACTCCAGCTCCTGCTAACTCAGCAGTCCAAAAGTGGGCGACTACAAGTAGATTAATGGGCACCATTTCAGTGGGCAACTTCATAGGAACATGAAAGGAACCCCAAACTGGGTATCCTCCGGGCAATGGTGATATCACTGACAAATCCTTTTGCCACATTGGTTAAGGAAATCAGTGTGGTTGTTATGGGAATAAAAACCCAAATTGATATGTCATTTGTGCTATAGGATACAAATCTTCTCTAGGTGTTGTACCTATTTGGGGGCTGATCCACAGTTGTTTCTTGTGTTGTGTTCTAACATTATGGATTTGTGAGCAGTCCAATTTGCAATCTTGGTGGGTTATTTGGGGTAGGGCAATAATATCGGCAGAAATATGTTGTATTCTCTGAATCTTTGTCTGATAAGTTCCTTGAGCAGATGACTTCTTGTAGTATGTCTTGTAAATGGCAATACATCTCCTTTTTACGACTGTGTAATCCCTTAATTTGGGGTTATATTTGGGGTGACTGGATGGAGCTTAGCATTTGCTGGCTGGGTGCCCTTCCTGACACCTAAGTGGAGTTGACAGCAGATTTTTTTTTCTTTGTGCCCTGGGAGAGAAATGTCTGTCTCTACCTAGGATTGAACTCTCAACCTCCCAAGTGGGAGGCAAGCATTTTCAGCACTAGGCCACCTTGCCTCTCTGCCTTGTAAATGGCAATATGGTGGCTGTATGTATGTGCAGATATTTGGACCAACATTCCCACAGTGGACTCCAGCTGGGAGAGCTGTTGCACAAGAGCTATGTGAAGAAACGTGTTCTTTTTCTGATGTTGGACATCTTTTCTCCACCTTTCCGTGTTTTGGAAGAAGCTGCAGCTTTGCCTTCCCCCATCACTGGCTGCTTAGTGGACTCATTCTGTCACATCTGTTCACCTGCAGATAAGTCAAGTGAAACGGTGGAAGCTCCACCATCAATTCTTCCCCCCTCCTAATTAGGATTGTTACTACTCTAGAAGCTCTTGTTGTGTGGAACCAGGATCTTCTGCAGCTCTTCCTTCTTCATTACTTAAATTGATTGGTTGGTTCTTGTGAAAGGATTCGCTCTCCCTATCTTCAGTCTTCAGGAGGACATCAGAGTGACCAGAATCTTGCTTGTGGGTAAGTGAGGCTTAATGTGTAATGACTTTGTGAAGGTGTGCTTCTTTGACAAAGGGGACAGGCAATGTGAGGTTCTTGGTGCTCTCTGAGCTTGGTGGTTTTCTTGCAGACATTTCATTACCCAACTAGATAACATCATCAGTGCTAAAAGGGAGAGGAGGAGGAGGAGGAGGAGGATAACAACTATGGGGTCCTTGGTGCTCTCTGAGCTTGGTGGTTTTCTTGCAGACATTTCATTACCCAACTAGGCAACATCATCAGTGCTAGAAGGGAGTGATTTTTGTGAAGAGGAGGGGGAGGAGAGGAGGAGGAGGAGGAGGGAAGGAGGAGGAGGTGGAAAGCAGGAAGAGGAGGAGAAGGAGGACTATGGGTGGTCCTCCTTGGTGGTCTCTGAGCTTAGTTGTTTTCTTGCAGAGATTTCATTACCCAACTAGGTAACTTCATCAATGCTAGAAGGGAGAGGAGGAGGAGGAGGACTGTGGGGTCCTTGGTGGTCTCTGAGCTTGGTGGTTTGCTTGCAGACATTTCATTACCCAACTAGGGAACATCATCAGTGCTAGAAGGGAGTGATGTTTGTGGAGAGGAAGAGGGGAGGAGGAGAGGAGGAGGGGGGAAGTAACAGGAGGTGGAAAGCAGGAGGAGGACTATGGTGACCTTGGGGGTCTCTGAGCTTACTTGTTTTCTTGCAGATGTTTCATTACCCAACCAGGAACATCATCAGTGCTAGAAGGGAAAGGAGGAGGAAGAGGATGACAAGTGTGGTGTCCTTGGTGGGGTTTTTGCAGACATTTCATTACCCAACTAGGCAACATCATCAGTGTTAGCCATTTCTAGTATTTTTAATTCAAGTTTCATACAATCGGGGAAATTTAGTCAAGAGTTATTGTGCTTTAATTTCTTTTTTCCCCCAGGATGTACAATTTAACATTGGCCATCAGTCTACATCCTCAATGAAGATCTTAGGACCTGGTGGTCACAATCTGACTTACATTCAAATCTTCTCATCCTTCCATGGAACATGATGTCCAGATGTTGATCAGCTACTCCATTGGCAGACCTCATCACCAGTTTCCAATGGGGCTGAATACAGTGGAGTTAGCAGCAATCATGAAAATAAAAATACACTCCTCTTGATGCAAGAGATATTAATGGATTTTGAATATCTCACAATGCCTTAATCAAGAGGAGCGATGTTACTGAGAGCTAGCAATCTCCATCTGTTCTTTGAAATGCAAGATTCATCAGAATTTGGAAAGTTAAACTTCGCCGTTGAAGATGGAAATGGGAGCAAGTTGCAGTTGGAATTTTGCAGACAAAGACTTTTGAGTTGGAGTAAATATTGGATGGCATGGAAACTTTCAAAAACTGGTCTTGTAGAAACCTGATGGAGGGTCTGCTGTCCGATTCTAGATTTTTTTGTAAATAAAAATATTTTTTTTAATAAAAGCTGCATCTATGGTGTTAATTCTCCAATGTATGCTCATTTAAAAAAAAAAAACCTAAGCATTTGATTAAAAGCTGTCCTATTTGTTTGTTTTTAATGAATGGCACGGCGCTGCACTGGTTTGGGGTGGGCTTTATTATAATTATTATTTTTTGCATCCTGAATATATTCATTCTTGGTTAATTATACTAATTTCTTATATTTGATGCTCAGCTCTGTCTTGCAAATTTTGTTTCCTACTCTTCTATGTAGGAAGGCTTTAAAAACAGTTCAAGATAAATTTGTCTCATTGATTTTGCAGCTCCTCTGTAGGTCTGCTGTTTTCCTAAAAAAAAAAAAAAATAGCTGGAAGTCTATTTGCAATTATCTTCACTTCTGCCAGTTCAGAAATCTTAAGAACAGGAAGACACCACTTTAGGTCCAACAACAATATTAAAAATTACTTCATTCCACCTAAAAGAAAATAGAAAGAAAATTATCATTCAAAATATGAGTCAAGTCAATAAGAAGTGATGCTGCTTTCTTCTTCTTCTTCTTCTTCTTCTTCTTCTTCTTCTTCTTCTTCTT